ACAAGAAAACTGCCAAACAAGAGCTCCGGTGCTGTGCAATAGAGAGTCCCTCTCCTTCTTCTCTCTCTCTCTCTTCTTCTTCTTTAGGTTTACTCTCTGTGCGCGTCCTTCAAGTCCTGCAAACTGATAGGTGCAGGTGATTGTGCCCGTCCTATGGCCTCAGCTCTCTCTGTACACTATACACAACTTCTCTGGCTCTGGCTATACAGTGCACGCACGCGAAGGGAATACATTAAAAACAAGTTTTCTGAGCTCAGAGAGAGACTTACGGAGTGCACAAACCTGTTGTTCCCCTCTCTTTCTCTCCTACCTTTGCAGACACACAAACATTATTATACAGTATTGAAGGTATACTGTAATACACTCTTTACCTGTGCTGTTGGAAAATCAGTTCTGGGGCTTAAGTTTTGGCTTCGAGTCTTGAGGGGCTGTGAGTTTTGGTGGAGAGGGGTCTCTGTTTAGGAGAGAAAATTTATTACATTTACTGAACACCATTCCCTCCACTCATCTATCAGTTCCCCAGTCTCTCTCTCTCTCTCTCTCTCCTGGAGTGAACTAAATCTTGAGCTCAAAAACTTGTTTCTNCTCTCTCTCTCTCTCTCTCTCTCTCTCTCTCTCTCCTGGAGTGAACTAAATCTTGAGCTCAAAAACTTGTTTCTTGAGCAGAAAAGATACTGTGGAGAAGAGTATTAAAACTTCAGGTTTTAAATGTCCATTACATTTGCACTCAATATTATACACACACTTGTGTTGTAGATGTGATGTATATTCAGGTGTACATCACGTCTAATAAATATTATAGTGTACTCTAAACGAGGGATGAGATGCACAGCAGAGTTGGAAATAACAAAAATACTTATAATAATACTATAAGAAAAACTATGGAGTAATCTTAAAATATATAATATGTGGTATAATATCGCAAATAACAGGCACTTTAATAGTGGACTGAAGCTCACGTTCCCCTCCACTCTCTCTCTCCACTTGCAGTTCACTATAACTATGATATATAATAAAGTAATTATTGTTACATTTCTTCTTACTTTCCTCAATCAAATGCATTAAAGTTATCGTAGATTACGATAAAAATGATAAAAATTATTTCATAATTGTTGTTGAGATAAAAATATTGAGAAATTTTTATAATATTATTCAAAACACACAAAAGTTTATATCATTTTATAAAACAGGAATTAATATTTGTTTTACTCATTAATACAATCGCTTGTTTTGCACCGAAAAACAAAATCATAATAAAATATCAAATTATTATTTATTATATTCAATAGACAGACAGTTGTGATGACAGTATGATTCAAATATTCAAATGTAACCGTAAGCCAGGCATTTGATGGGGGAATATACCGGTGCTCAGGTAGGTATAACGTAAGCACACAACCATGAGCTTTTTTGTTTGATACACATCACTGGCATTACTATATGAGATCACAACTCGATATAACATCAATTGAGTGGCAATATTATTGGGATACCAATTGTGTTGCCATTGAAATACATGCATAAAATATGAATTCATATCATTATCATAAGCCTGTGTGCGATATATGCGGGAAACCGGTATATAATGGTAACCAAGTGATAGACACTTACGATATTATTAGCTATATTTTTAGTAATTTATATATTTTTTTGGTTAACCACTGAATAAAAAGTCAAGTGACATATGGTATGGGTTGGCGTTGACGCCAAACATCACCACACCTATGGCTACCAGTGCTTTAACAACTCACTTGATCTCGTGTTTTTTGAATTAGTCTAATAAATACTTAATTAATGTAACTTTTCAGACGTTAATTATTAATTCAATTTAGCAAATGGTTTGCAATCCCACGCATGAATCGTCTCTCTTTCTCTCTCATCAGCGCATTATTAACCATTAAATTACTGACAAAATTCAATGTATTCAATGGTATTGCGTTTTGTTATGCCATTCATGTCATACATGCAAAAGTCAGACAAATAACAAAAAGTAATTTATTTTTTTTCTCGTTTTGTTTCTGAAAAGTTAGTTTAGGTTTTGTCTTAACTGTCGGTCTAATTGACTAAACATTAAGACAAGTATTTTGTCGATTCATTTGTTTATATCAGAGTCTGATGTCTGAAATGGCATTTTCACGACAGAGCATAATGTATAATACATTTTGGACTTTTGGATACCATTAAAGTCTATGATTGCATTCATTTGAAACCATTTGCATAAATAGAGATGCGATTTCCCAGTCTCTCACAAAAACATTGCTCCCTCCCTCCCTCTCTCTCTCTCTCTCTCTCTCTCTCTCTCAAAAACTCTCTCCTATTCTGTCTCTCACCAAAAGCGAGATAATAATCATGACTTTGTGGCGCTTTAAATGCTCAAAGTCTCAGACAAAAGGCCTAACAAAACACAAACCACTGGTAATGTTCCGCACAAATCATATTTACATTTCAATCGCAAGAATAACTTATTATTTATTCGCATTTCATGTTATCTTTCGGCTCAACGAATGTCCACTAACTCTATGGAAAGGTTAGCAAAACAGATATTTATTGTATTTTTCTTGTTTGAAATGAATGACAATATAATGATAATTCTGTTGAACTCTCGCAACTGTTGAGCAAAATAATACTGTAATACAGATTACATGTATTAAAGCAAAAATATTCCTGACTTTTAAAGTATTTGAGTGAAGAAATAAATAAAATAAAAAATCTCTTTTCGAGATATACATTGATATCCAATGACACGAACACCAAAAGCTCAATGTTATGCGTTATTTGCCATAAGTATGGTTTGATATTTGCTGTTGAGCTCAATGTGTTTGAAAAATTATCATTTTATTTGTGTGTTAAGAGAAATATAAAAAGCAATTTATTATTATTGAGAGAGAAATACATATAACATGTATATAATGTATATACAGATATATTATGGAGGAACGGGTCAGTTGTCAGTTGGAACTGGTATTTCCAATTGAGAGCAAATATCTTATTTTTTACATTATATATCTTATTCACAATATATAGAATACAGTATACACTATGCACTGTATATTACAGTGTATGATATCATTGATATGTGTTGTATAGTGTACTGAATAATAACGATAAAGATTTATGATTTAGTTAATCCACTTTTCCTGAAACATAAGGTCCGCATGAACTGCGAGTTTTGCGTTCAAGTATTTAGTGTTTTGTTTTAGTAATTAATTTATTCTGAAATTTTTGTTTCTCTTTCTCTGATTTCATAATTTGTTTTGCATTTTTTTATAAGTTATATAATAAATAACTTATAGTTGTTTTTCATTAGCTGTGAAACACATTCATATGCTTTCTGTGTGTTATTGAGATCTTATTATTTGATTACAAACGCATATCTAGTAATTACTGTAATAATAACTATTAGCTTGAATGCCATTATTAAATATTATATAACCCATAAGTTATTGAATGGCATTCACTATTAGATTATCATAAGATTAGTTATGAATTAATTTTTAATTCATGAAACATTGAATGCAATATATCGTTCATTCATACGCTTTCTGGGATCAATAATTAATGAATGTTTACATACATGTAACAAATATCGCCTGATTATTGAAAAACCAAAAAAATCAAATCAAAAGCTAATCGCCAAACGATATACAAGAGTATGTGTTTGTGATCTGAATTTTCTCTCTGTGTTTGCCATCTGAACGGCCAATAGATTGTAATCACACTTTAATTATCCCCTAAACTCTCTCAATACCCAAACTCTACGGTGTATTATAGATGTTATGTTTAAATGTATTTTGTTTCACAAGTTTGTGTTCAAACACTACCTGTTCCTCCACTTCTGGCACCAAATAAAACATAGACACCGTTTAAGAGCCAAAATCATAATTAAAAGTTCAATAATTATTTTTATTTATTTTTCCGTTTGGGCCGTAAAAAACTTGTCTCAAATGAGTCCTCTCTATCTCTTCTCTCTGCAAATTTGTTTTCTCCTTATATAACGTTTAGAGTTTCATAAAACTTATTTAACAGATCCTCTATTAACTCGTTTCCAGGCATTTCCTTACAGTCCGGGCACTGCTATATCTCTTCAGCCGAGAGAGACAGTCAGCGAGAGAGAGAGAGAGAGGACTCATTTGAGACAAGTTTTTTACGGCCCAAACGAAAAATAAATAAAAATAATTATTGAACTTTTAATTATGATTTTGAAAAATGCAAAACAAATTATGAAATCAGAGAAAGAGAGAGAGAGAGAGAGAGAGAGAGAGAGAGACTCAAATTAAAGCAAATATCACTTAAGGACATTTTGCTGTACGATCGGGTCCTAAACGCACATCCATTTAATGGCTAAACAAAATATTTTAATTCCTAATCTATTGAATTGATTGTCCGTACAATTGGATTAGTTTTAAATTATTATATTTATATCATTAAATTCATTAATCATTACAATTAATCGTTTTAAAGCATACAAATTCACTAAACTCTCGCTCTGTATGTAATATATTATGTAACAAATTTTTAATAATATGCTCTGTTTTTGTTGTAATAATTTTTTTTTAAATTACATAAAAAATATTTTGCGATTAAAATACAATCAGATAATATGAAAATATTTTAAATAACTATACATTTTGTATATTACGTATATTATATTATATAATATAAAAATTCTATAAAATTTATATATAAATCCCTGTAAAAAAAGTTTATGCAAGTTATAAATGTCTGTCAAATGGATTTTAATGTGTATTTAGTTGTAATGACTTATGATTTCATGACTTTTCGCAGACTATTAACGAAAATCTCCTTATTTTCTAAGAAAACTCTTTGTTTCCGATATGTAAAGACCATCGGATAAAATGCATACAAAAACCTGTCGATTGCACGCAAAAAGAGATATAAAAAGCACTCTTTTCGCAGCCTATCGTCAAATTAGGTGCGATTCTGTGTTTTTCACACCAAACAAAATAACATAATATGTAATATAATTAGCAAATCGTATATCAAATGGGATGTGAGAGGGAAAGTGTGGCGGAAATCACCGAAACGCTCGACACATCGCTATCGCACCTCTCTTTGGGCTTGAGATACACGTCGTTGTCGTCCTCTTTGACGCCATCGACAGCTGTCAACGGATCGGTAACTGTTGACAACACCTCTCCATCGTCTCCTATCACCTCAACCCTCGGCTCACCGGCCGATCCCATCACAGTCTCCCTCTTCTCCATCTCTCTGTCCGCCCCCTCTTTCATCACAACTCCATTCTCGGAATCCGTTTTGATTACAACCTTCTTATTCAATACTCTCTTCTCTTCTTTACGCAAATATAGATAATAAATGAGTGAATAGACAACGGCTACGACACCGGCCACGTATCCCATGATCCTAAACGCGATTCTGGCGTTAAATATGGCCATAAGACTGCCCCCAATCATACTTCCGGCCGCCCGACCCACTTGTGTGTTGTTTTGTTGTTTATTATTTGTGTTAAAATAAATGGTTTTCAAATTACTTTAAAATTCATTAAAATTTATGTTTTATATATTTTATAAAGTGTTGGTTTGGGAGAGAGATAGAGAAAAAGCATAACACAAATACCTCCGTAATGTAGTCCTCCCACCACTCCAACCATTGTAGCCGTCAGTCCTGTATATAATAATAATGATATAGTTAATAGAGTTCGCCATAAAAACGGCATTAAATTTTGCATTTATTATGTATTTATTCCTATATTAATATTTTTTTCTCAAAACAATTATTAATATAACAGTATTTTTTCGTAACAGAGATAAACATTTATTTGACTTTAAGCTAAAGAAATATCTTAAGAAATCTCTCTCTCTCTCTCTCTCTCTTCAATCAAAACTATATCCCAAAACACATCGTAAACAACACATAAACATATGGTTTACTCTCTCTCTCTCTCTCTCTCTCTCTCTCTCTCTCCTCTCATATTCACTATCTGTTAAAATAATATGTAATTTAATTTGTAGTTTAATTCGTTTAACTAATTGTTGGTATAATTACGAAATAATTTTGCGCTGAAATTAATTGGAGTGAAACCAGAATTTAAATTAAATAAATTAATAGTTGGTTTGCAAACAAAAATTGCTAAATAGTTTGTTTGGTGTAAATATCTGTATATATAATGTATTTATTAAGATATCACTCACACGGGAAATAAATGGTCAAAAAGTTATTGTCTTAAAGCGATTGGCATTTTGTGACCGCAGAAGGAATGCGAGTATTATTTGGGATTTTTATTATCGTTTCATAAATATTTTAATATTTATTATTTATTAAAAGCTCTCAAATGAATGGATTGATTGCCTATCATTTTGATTATCAATAATATTATATTCAATAGAATTTAATGTAATATTTATGACATTTATATCATTATTTAGTTATTATTAATTTATTTCCTTTTAATACTACAGTATTTAGTTATTTCTACGATATTTCCTATAATAGCATAAAACGACCGAAAAATTGTTTTTTAGTGGAAAAATATATATAAATATCGTATAGAATGCCATAAATTAGACTTTTGGAGAGTAATCCTCAATAAATAAGATTATGTCCACATTTTTTAGTGAAAAAATGTCAAACATTTGGAAAATATTTTTAGTACAAACTCTTTGCCAACTTTTTTTCATTAAAATCTATTACTATAATCAGATTTTGCTAATTAATCTCTCCCTCTCTCTCCCTCTTTTAAAAGTATATTAAAAATAACATTAACTCTAAACGCAAGCCGACGGAGAAAAAAGTATTAAAAATAATATTTTGATATTATTTTTGAGTTCAAATGAATTAATTCCTTCAATAAATAAATAAAAACTCTGTTATATTTAATATCCATATTCTTGAGGACCCAAAAAAAGTTGATAATGAAATGGCAATTGAAAATGTGATCAAAATCAGTGCCAATACAACGAAACTACTTGTGCTAACCTTCCGGATCCAACTTCTGAGCATAGGTTGCGGCCGCGCACCACATGAGATGATAAGTGAAAGCCTCCATAGCCTGTAATTATATCAATACAACAAATCAAGTGATGGGATGAGAGAGAAAATTGTATTCATGTGATGAGAGTTTTGGCCAAAAATTTCACACAAAATATCGTTTGCATCAAAAAGTTTTCATTTTTCCGATCCATTCGATCAAACTTTTTGATCAAACATTTTATGCCAAAACCATATGTTTATGTGTTGTTTACGATGTGTTTTGGGATATAGTTTTGATTGAAGAGTGAGAGAGAGGTTTTGATATCTAATAAGCATTTTTTTTATTGACTCACGAGTGGAGGCACTGATGGGAGAAGATGTTTGTGTGTTTGAGAAGAGGGATCACTCTTTTGTTCTTCGCGTATATGTTATATAATTATCTCTTTTTACTCTCAGATTAAGAGGTTTTGACGGTTAAGAAAAGGTCAATGAATTTAAGCCATTATTTTTATGGCCTTTTCTTCACCGTTGCTCTCTCTCTCTCTCTCTCTCTCTCTCTCTACGGGTGTACTAACCCGACTNATATTTTGTGTGAAATTTTTGGCCAAAACTCTCATCACATGAATACAATTCTCTCTCTCTCTCTCTCTGGCAAAATATTTAAATTATAAAATTTATAAACCATTAATTTTTGATCAAATATTTTTTTCTAGTAAAACTAATTAATTAAAAATCATATCGTTTTTTATATAAAATAATTATGTGTTGAATACCTGATTAGCAAAAAGTAAAAACTATGGCTAAAAATGTGAGCATTTCTTTAGGAATAAAATTTTAAAAACATTAATCAAAGTCATGTTTTTTATATAAATTATAAATTTATGCCTAAAATTGTAAGTCAATTAATTTTGTTTATATTCAAAGCGTTTAATTCATTATAATTTTTTAAGGTATAGTTTTGTTTAGGAAATTGATTTTTTACCCAAAAAACGGGACTAAAAACTCACACACAAAATATATTCCCGTTTTTCTGTTCATTCAATCATTTAAGACTTAAATACCATAATATTATTTCAGTATTATTTACACAACAAATCATTTTTTTCAATTTGATTTTGACAAAGAATTTTTTCGCGTAAAAAACTATTTTTTAATTATATAGTTATAAATATTTGATTTATTTCGCTTAAAGTGTCGAATAGTTTTCTGGTTTAATGACTTCGAGAGAGAGAGAGAGAGAGAGAGAGAGAGAGAGAGATACATTATATATACTGTATGTCAGTATTCTGTCATGCATTCAGTCATTCAGTTTGCAGGAAAGGACACAATGAGAGAGAGAGAGAAAGAGAGAGAGAGAAGGAAAACGGGATTTCTTATACCTAAACAAATCGCTTGTAATTATTCATATATAGAGAGAAAGAGAATTATAAAAACAAATTTAAATTAATATTTATTTTATGCAAAGATAATAATTTAGATAACAATCTATAATCTAATGGCTAATCAAAACTCTCATCTCAAACACAAAACAAACAACAAAAATGTTGTGTCAAATAAATGTGAACAAAACGGTTGAATTACCTCAAAGGGAATGCACCAAAAGGGGTTCTCAATGAGTGAATAGCCACCAAATCTAATGAAATAAAACACCAGGGCCAATATCATGAGATTGACATTGCCCATTTTGGCCACAAACCACTCGGACGAGAGCAGAAAGGGTAGGCCAATGACAGCGCCGGTGGTGAGCGTCAGTCCCAACAGATATTTCGGTGAATTCAGATCCAAGAGATACCAGAAGAGAAACGACTCGACAAACCCCCAGAGAGTGCCCAAAATGAAGATCACGATAAACAGGACCCAAGTGTTGGCCGACCGGAGCAGCGGTCGTATGTTTTTCATAAGATTATCGGGCGGTGGGGCGACCTCTACGGACATTACCATTAGTGTGACCGAAGTCAACAACACGAGTACATTGAAGAAGTGAAACGATGGCGAGTAATTGGTGGAGAACTCGTCTTTGCCGGCACTCAAGTGGTCAATGAGTAGACCACAGATGGGAGAGAAGAGTCCGGTGGCGAAAATGGCCCAAAATCTCTCCTTACCGAACGACGACTTGTGGCGTTCGCAAAGTACCAAGGTGGTGGCGTCCAGCAAGGTGAAACATATGCCCACGGTTATCTGAAACACTATACGTATGGAGAAGTATAGCCAAAATGTGAACGCATGGGAGGCGTATGTCTGGTGTGGGGCCGACAGCTCCTGGTCTTTAGCCGCCTCCAAAGGGCTGTGTGTTTTGCTGTCGGGTTAATTAAACATGGTTCAATTGGTTTTGTTGTTTTGTTTTATTATGTTGTTTTTCTGTTGTGTTTTTGCCGGAATTAATTGCTTTTAATTAAATTTGTTTTGTTTTAATTTTTTTGTTTATTAAGTGTTGTTTTTTGCTGAGCATTTAGTTAAGGGTTTAGTTAATTGATTTTGTTGTAAATCATATTTTTCATTGCCATAAGTTTTGTCACCCCTTCTTATCACCCCTTATAGTGTCAGTGATTATTGATTGGGATTTTTGACAAATAAAACTAAAAATTTAATTAATTAACAAATGTAGCGATGGTTTGATTAATTAATTGATTAGTTATTAAATGCTTTTGAGATAATTATATTTGCTTTATTAATCGCAATCTCACTTATGTTACCGATAGTTTTCGTTTAGTATTTGATTTAATGGGATATTTATTTTTCTCAAATGATAGAGTATTTTGTCAATTGTTTGCTGTGTTTAATCAAATTTCAAACAACAATAACAAAGACAATTAACTTCAAACATATGCCAAACACTCCTTATAATTCCTATTGTGTTTTTGTTGGTTTCCTAAACCTCATGATTACATAACATTATAACTGATTATAAAATATAATTTGTATTACAAAACGATTTAGAGATTAGAAATGGTTAGAAATATAGCGGAATATAAGGTATACCTGTCTTATGAAAGTGAAAAAGGCTTTATTTATAGATATTTAGTATAGAAATCATGAATATTTTTTGAATAGAGAATTATAAAACACATAACTTATAAATAGCAAATTTGATTCAATTTATTTGTAAATTATAATACATATTAATAACACTAATAACGCTTATAATAATCATAATAATAAAATCAGTATTAATTTCTTGATCACGAAATACAGTATAGGAGTGTATTTACAAAGAATCCAATTCTTAAGACACGATTTGTAAATTAAATTTATTTATTGTTTCAATGCATTAATGGTTTAATCAGTAATTCTGAGCTTAAATTTCTCGCATAAATTCATATGAATTTTCAATTTTGTGAATCAATTTAATCGAGAGAATAAAATAATCATTTTATTATTACTATTACTATTAAACGCGAAAAACAATTTACTTTAAACATTAAGTTATTTTAGAAATAATAACGAGTTTTATTATTTTGATAACACATAAAAAATCTAGAACTTTAACCGATTGATTGCCTTATGATTTATTTTGTAACACATGTTGGCTATCAATGAATCGATTGGATAATAAATAAATAAATATAATATACTTTTTTATATCACATTTTGAACAACAAAAAAATATAATAAAATAAAAACTAGTATTTGATTATAAAATATATACATTTGTATTTAATGGAGATATAAGTTAACCATATATTTGATTATAAGTTTTGGGTTTTTAGAGAATCCGCTCACAAATAGTCCTCAAAACCTACAATCAATTCACGATTTTTATTGATTCTAATAAGAAGTTTCATTCAAACCAATAATTTGTTTGCAACAAAAAAACTTTCTGTTTTATTAGGGATTGATTTTATAACGATTTGAGAAAGAAGAGAGAGAGAGAGAGAGAGAGAGAGAGAGAGAGAGACTCAGACAATGACTCCTAAGACAAACTACAGGATATCGTATGTGATTTACCACGAAATTGGTTTTCCATATAATATCTGTTCGTAAACTTATGGTAATTATTTGCAAGAAATACAACAATTTGTTTTATGGAAACAATTTATCCGATGATATCATAGACTGGTTTTGTTTGGCGCACAATATTATAAATGGCTATTTAGCTGTCAAACCATAACAGAGCGCCCGATCCTCTCATCCTTTCATTTGTAACTTATGCCCAAATTAATGATCTCTTTCTGTGTTAAACACTAAAAAACTATTTCATAGTAATCTCTCTCTCTCTCTCCCTCTCTCTCTCTCTCTCTCTCTCTCTCCCTCAGCATGTAATGGATGTCAAACTTTTCAGCGCTTTTCAACCCCTCCTAAGATGAAGCACTTATATAACTATATGTACTCTACTATTAAGTCTTGTTTTAATATACATAGAGAAATACACCGTATATTACATAACATAATCACATCTAGATTGAGGTTGGGATGCGTTGGCAAAGTTAAACACTTTTCATATACATGTATACAATACATAATAAACACTTGAATACACTTATTATATGATATTTATATTCTAGTAAAGTAGTGTTGTGTATGAATTTAAACTAAACTAAATACAGTATATCTTATATAGTTTTCTATGTATTTCTATATTATTATTGTTGTGTAACCAAAGAAATAATAATATTAAACGTAAAAATAGTGAAGAGATTTTGTTCAATGATTACGATGTGATTTCCCATTGACTGCTGGGAAACCGATTTAAACCGCAGTTAAAATTATTGTTGTTTTTGGTCTCATTGGCTGACAATTAGGGCCTAATAAAGGGTCTGTGGATGTGCTGTGTGTTGAGGTCTATGGCCTCCAATTAGAGCTAATTTAGTTAATAAGTGAAATGAAAATTTAGGGCTTTATATATGAAATATTAAGATAAAACAGAGTTGTCTTAATTTAAATGATAAAACACAGTATTTAATTGCATACAAAAAGTAAGTTTTTCAAATGTAAGGGAAAATTAGTTATCATCCGATAGGGTATGAATTGAATGAATTATTGTCACTCAAAAACGTATTTAACTTTTTTATATCTTATTAATACGTTTATATTAGATATAAATATTTACATCCATTTATCCGAAACATCAAATTACATAATAATTAGTCGCCTTTTATACACATATTATGAACAATATCTCTGTCTAATGTCTGAGTGAGTGAGAGAAAAGTCTTAAAAGCCTTATTATGTATGAGAAATGTGTATTACATTTAATAAAATATAAATATATTGTCAAATATAAGTGGGAATCAAACGGCAGTTTTTATACGTGTATTATTTCAATCATAATTTATAAGTTATGGTAAGAGAAATACATGAATACATGACTTCCGACAAGTGTTTTCCTATGAAAAACTCCCAATCAATAGACCAGAAGTCAAACCGATAGACCAGAAATCAATGCAAACTTTTAGGAAAATTATATTTTTTTTGCTAACAGTAAAACATTTTTGTCCCGAAAATCATTACAATAATTCCTATTGTTATAAATCGTAACTTAATGTCAAGTCATTAGCCTCTTGGAGTGGTGGAAGTGCTTCATATACTGTATATCATATACAATGTATACCTATCATGAAGTAATATCTCAAATGCTTTTTCACACAGTTATCATTAAAATAAAGTTTGTGGCATATCTTTGAAGGAATATAAAAAACATTAAATCCATTTGTCATTTCATTAGTTATATTATTTATTTTAAAACCACTCATAAGACTAATAAATTAATGCAAAAATATGTTTAATAAGTGATAAATTGCTTATACTTTTTATCATTTCTAACCATAATTTATATCCAATCAGTCAAATGGTGTGTTTTTGTAAGTTTTGTTTGGATAAAAAATAGATATTATGTAAATTTGTTGTTTAAAATAATATACAAAAATATATATTGTATTCGCAAATGAACTCCGAATTTAATAATAATTGTTTGAAAATTATATGGTATTAGATATGAAATATTTGGTTAAATAAATTGCTATTTTTATTTCTATAAATGGGTTTTTGTTGGAAAATGATAATTCAATGTTTCCATTCGTAACGTTTGTTTTGTGAATAAAATTTCTTAAATCATATGATAGTTGTCTGAATGAGAGAAATATTATTGAATATATAATATTTGTATAAAAATTGTTTTCTGTTCACTAGATTTTCAAACCCACAAATCAATTGTGTAATGAAATTCATGAATTATATAAGGAATTCAACGATAATAATAATAATAATATACAATATTTTCTGTTTGCTTTTCATCACTAGTTATTAACCGATCAATCAATGGATTGAAAGCTAATTATTTGATGCTTTTTAGGCTAAGCTCTAGAAATTTAAAATACAACAAAAAATTTTAATTTCCGATAAAATAATATATGAAAAAATATAAACAACTTTTTAAAAATAACTATTAATAACAATATATGTTATATAAGCAAAACAAAAATTTGTTTCACTTATCAAAACAATTTTCCATTAAGAATACTAATGGAAAAAATTAAAATATTAGGACATGTATTGTAAGAATGGATCAAATAAAGCACTTCAAGAAGTTTATTGTTGTATCGCAACAAAAGTCTTAACACAAATACCAACTCTTCCTAAAAAGTGTTTTCAATTCAATCCTTTCATATAAACAAAAAGGCAATTACTTTACAACACATACAAAAGTAAATGAAAAAAATCACAAAAAAATAATTAAAAATTTTATAAATGAAAAAGTCATACAAACCTTTGAGGAGCGTCGGGATCGCCACTCGAGGGCACAAACATTATGCCCACCGAAGTAATGATTGTGATAATGAGGTTAACGATTAGCACAATCTTGTAATTTCCCAATTTATCGGCTATAAAGCCGGCAATCGGTGGACCGATTACTTGTGTGATGGGAAGCACTGTATAGACAATAGCCGTCTCCTCCACAGTAATACCCAATTGTCTCATATGTATCGTCATATATGGGAGAAGACATGCCGCCGCTAGAGATGGTATATAAGTTTAATAGTTAGTGAAAACTGGACATAACTGGCCTCCCGGTGCGCCAAAAAACCCGAGTACCGGCACATTGCAAATAATGCGGTTGTTTGGGGGTATTGGCGCTTCCCATGAAGTGCTAGTTATATACGGTTTTCACTTAAATATATTGATATATTCCGCACACTATTAGTCGATGCAATTGTCGGACGGATCGCCACAAACAAGACATACCTCCGAACCAGAAGAATAGGATCAGCTTCAATGGAAAGAGTTGTTTATTGATTTGAATTCCGCAAACCATTTGCGTGTTTTTGGTATTAATCAAAAACCAAGAGTAAAATGCAAACACAATATGTAGTCAGAGATAGTGAAAGAAAAAATGTGTCTCCTTTTACTGTAAATGTAAAACTTTTTCCCTCTTATCAATCGGTACGACAAGAGACGACATAATTCAGGCCTTTATTAGCCGCGTATCATAAGTACTAGTATTTGCTATAAACATAAATGTCATATAAATTAAGTCCATTTACAATATAATAACTGTATATCACATGTCTTTCTCTCTCCCTCTCTGTGGCTGACTATCACTTCTCAAACATCACTCCCGAGATAACAAAAGACCCAATCATTTAATCATCAAATGGTGTTATGAAATCGTTGTTCAGACACCAGTTGTCAAAAGTGGTGTCAATATTTGCTTAGCAATTGATATAA